TTACTAACAAGTACTATCGCCTCTCATGGACCTCGCAAATCGAAAGTCACAAGTGCGTCGCCGCCTTAGTATGACCCAGCGAAGCCCCCCCCCTCTAATTCCAGGAGTTTCATTCACACGTTGAAAGGCAACGAAAGAATTACTGGGCTGTGGTATCATGGCTCACCAATGCTCTCCGTATTAAAGCCCGTGAACTAATACAGTAGAATCAAAGTTGTTAGAAAGTTATACAAACAAGTTGGTTATTGTCTATAATATATTGTACTGACTATGATAGATTGGTTTATTTGCGTACAGATATTTTAAAACACGCCTCGATTAAGACTGTAAAGCTTGCCGAATGAACAAACGATAAAACGATGGAACAAACTAAAGTATCCAAGTCTACTTAAACTCAAAATGTTTAAGGGTCTAATGAAAGACCATTTCTGTTTTTCCCAGCGACGACAGCCAGTAAAATACATGTCGGTCGGTAATCGAGCAATTTAAACACGTCTTAAATAGCTTCACAAATCCAATTTGTAAAACAATCGATTCTTATTTGGATATATAGTATAATGCACCTAAAAGGTACTTACTACATAACCGTTAACATACCACAAAGAAAAGATATTTTCAATTATGTTTTTCAATAAATATGGTTCTTTAATTTTTAGTCCATAAAAGCACCATAACATGTATGTATTTGGAAATTTACAAAAAAATATCGTCATAAACGTTTTATAGTAGGCCAAAACCTCCTTTCTAACGAGAGGCCTATGTCCAGCTGTGGACTAAGTGCTATGTTCATTTAGAAATATATGTGCCCAGTTGACGGTAATAGGATTGCTCCCGATTACATAATTGGGACTAAAATTATCGTCGTCAAAATGTAGGCGTTTTAATTCTTCTCTGTCTATCCCTTCTTGGATAAGGACGTAAGAGTATGTATGTATGTAAAGGTTTGACCACAGACTATCATACATTTAGCAAGTTTGTGTTATATTAGTTCACAGACTGTATAAATAAGCAATATTAACAGACCCGAAGCCGAATTTATTTCACTTCTAATCGATCGTTACGGTGACCGCGTTCGGTGCTACGATTGGCCTGCATTGAAATCTCCACCAATCGCAATGAGAGCGAGTCGATGTGAAATAAACTTGCACTCGGCCCTCTGATGACTCAATAAGCGACCTACTTATCTAATCTTATTCAACGAGTGAATATGCGAGGAAAGATAAGAATTTTATGTGTATTTGTGTAGATCTGTTTGAGATAAAATATATATTCGTATGTTTTATGAGAATTACGCCATTAAAAGACCTACCATGAGTTTTTGGATGTAGAGCTAGTGACCCAAACTAATTTCGCAAGGGTGGGTATAGTATGTTTTCTAAATTTTTGAGGAACAGGAATATTCTATATATATTATAAAAGAATAATATAACTTTATTACTAAATATAGTTATTACTCTAGTAAGATATAATAATAAAATAGTTTTATTATTTATAGATTCAGAGTTGTTATTGTGTTGTAATTTAAGATGCAGATACCTACAGATATGTATTTGAATAATATTATGTCCGAAAAATACAGATAAGTAAAGATTTCGATTTTTTAGTTACTTACTATGTCAAAACAGACAGAGTAGGTAGATATAGTTTCATGGGATTATACTTTGTATGATCCACAAATTGTTGTTCCGAGTGTAGGTGTTCTTTGCGCCTGTTTCGTGAATGTTTGTGAAGTCTTCCGCGACTCAGGATATATTGTTAATAAGGGAATGGACTTTAAAAAAACTACTTATTTTTCTATGTTCCGTCTGACAACCGTTACATTTTAAAAGAGAGTCAGGTAGGCAACATATCATTAGCAAAACAGCCATAATCTGTTGCGATGTTAAATGTAACAAATTGTACCGACCTCAGATGAGATTTGAAAAAGATAGGAGGATTACTAAATAAGTATACATATAAATAAAATCTATTTGCATATTTATTGCATGGTCTGAGGCCAGCCAGTACCTAGTCTATAATCTCAAAACTTATGGTGTCAGTTGTGCATTACCAATACCAGTTATTCCAGTCTTCAGTCTCCGCTGAATTCTGATGAAGGAAAAGAACGGAATCGGATTCTTGCTGAGTTGCTTTTTCTTCCAGACTTATTTATCACTAGATAGCCTTATGCGTACCTATATTACCTGAGGCGTTACATTCTTATGACATAGGTCAGATGACTTCAGACCATCACCATGTAATTAGTGTGATTTTCTTTGTATTTGTTTTTTATATAATTCATGTTATGAAGAGTTTATAAAAGGAAATTATTATAACGATAGATTAAAAGGTATTTAGAATGATATGTCGATTACGTTGTTGCCTAATATTGTGTGAAACTTATGCATGTAATACCTACCTTAGATTCAAACGTCAATATCAATTTGTTGCGATTATATATTTTTATTGTTGAACTCAAACTCAAATAACTTTATTTCATAACTAGCTGAGACCCGCGGTGTTACCCGCGTTTGTGGTTATAACCGCGGGCAACGCCGCTGGGCGAAGCTAGTCTAAAAAAAGTAGCCTAAGTTACTCCTTATGTCATCAGCTATCTGCCAGTGAAAGTCCCTTCGAAATCGGTCCAGCCGTTCCAGAGATTACCCGGAACAAACAGACAGACAGACAGACAGACAAAAATTGTAAAAAATGTTATTTTGGCATATGTACCGTGTAAACATATATATGCATTTAGTAAAAAGCGGTTATTTTATTATTACAAACAGATACTCCAATTTTATTTATTTGTATAGAAGATAAAATTAAAATTATTTGAAATCGTGTCTTGTGTAGACTCTAAAGTCATAGATCAATACACACAGCAGCAACAATCTATGTTTTGTCAAATACTAGGTGAATCTATATTACGTGAATCTCTACTATCTCTACTATGCCTGTGTGCCGATCTACAACCGCCCATTTCCAAGGGGTTGAGCCTCATGAGAAGAAAGGGCAAACAGTTTGTTTGCCCTTTCTTCTCATGAGGCCCTCTTTAAATAAGCAGATAACAATGGCATCATTAAATATACAGAACATTGTTTTGATGTGTGCCAGTATGTGAGTTTTAGAAGAAGTAAAACATAAAAAATGGAAAATTAAATAAAAGACACACTAGCCCATTTCACATTTCTACTACGAAATAGCCTGTGTTAAATTAATCCCAACCATTATTGTCTTCTATGTAATCCACAATTAAGTAATAGGCCCTCTGACACAGTTAACGTTTAATTGTGGATTTAAATTTGTTTATACTAAAATCTTGTAATCTATTTGGGATTTTATTCTAGAATCGGACACATTGATCTCGAAATGACTTGTTTATCTTTTGGAGCCTAGAGGCAGGTACAACAAGTTTATTTCTATTTCTGGTATTAGAAGCATGTACATCACTTCTTTTCATGATAGAGCTATCTTTGTTTTTATGAACATATATTACATTTTCAAATATATATTGACTTGACATTGTCATTATGTTTTTAAATTTTTTGCAAACAACACGATCTCGTGATTATCCTTGACAAAGTGAGGTAAGTCGTTAATATATACTAAAAACAAAAATGGGACGAGAATAGAAAATTGTGGAAAGCCCATTTCTACCACAGAACCCGGAGATCGCTCACCGTTAATATCAACTTTCTGAATCCTATTAGTTAGATATGAAGCAAGAAGTTCCAGTGCTTTAGTTTTGATACCATAGTGATGTAATTTCCTGATCAGCGTTTCGTTTCGTGATCAACACAACATAATAGCTTTAGATAAATCGCAAAAGATACCAAGAGAATCGTTGGCATCCTCCCAGGCATAAAATATATTTTAATAAGCTCAACACTGGCATCAGTTGTGGAGCGACCCCTAGTAAAACAAAATTGTCTATTGTGTAATAAATTATTATTAATAAAATAGCTTTGTAATTGATCATATATTATTTTTTTCAAAAAGTTTGCTAAATACTGGAAGTACTGAAATAGGCCTACAGTTAGTTGGGTCTTTACTGCCAGATTTGAATAATTGAGAAATTTTACTGGACTTCATAAGATTAGGAAATAAGTACACCACTATCATCATATTGATTAAATGTAAATGACAATTGATTAACCACAAGAGATAAAATTGTCTTAGTAATTAATACAGAATTTTACCATAGGGCAGTTGTTTTTTAACATTAATAGTGTTAAAAGTTTTAATTATTTCAAGGTGTGAATACTAGAACTTAAATTCACTATCAATCCTACTAACATTATCTTTTATAATTGATTCTGCAAGGCATGGTGAGGAGTTCAAAGATTTAGTAGTTGATACAGGAATATTGTTAAAAAAAAGTTCTCAAATGCGGCAGCAACCTCAGCATTTGATGTGATGAATTTATTGTTTACATTCAGATTAAATTCATTATTGCAGTATTGGTTTCTTCCAGTATTATTGTTAATATTTTTCCAAGTCGTTTTAATCTTATCATTGCTACTTTTAATCTTTGAACTTATAAAACGGGACTTAGCCAATTTACAAAGTTTCCTAAACAGCTTCGAATATTCTTGAATAAAATTATGAAACTGTTCACTTTTATTATAATTTCTCTCATCAAATAGCTTACATAATATTTTCCTACTTTTGAGTAAGCCAGTTTAAATGTGGCGTTATCTTTAACTACTAGGGTTGTTGGTGTAAAAAATAGTGTTAAATGTTTCAAAAAAGCTGTTACAATAAGTGTTAGAATATTATATGACTTGCTGAATTTTTCTGTTAGTTCATTTATTACCTTTTAAGTTACAACTAAACTAAGAACAGGGAACTAAGTCAGGTTACCAAACTAACAAATTATTTTATTCTAAGAATATTTTTTAATGATACAGGTCGCAAATGAAGGAATATGTGTTATTATTTAGATATTTGTTATTATGTTTTGTTATTTCTAAGGGTGTTCACATATTTTTTGATAAACAATCGATTTGTTTCAATTTTAGAATATGGAAGGAAATGAGTCTAAACGACAGCCTCAGTGATGTCGAACGTGCAAAACTAGCCGTTTGGGACTACCCAGTCAGCGACAAATATAGCAAGATGTGGCAGGCGATGCAGGAGGCTGGCCTGCCAAATACCATAGAGGAAGCAATCCAAAGAGTTCGAGATTCAAAGAGTTCGAGTGAAGGATTTGCTTGGCTGGGCGACGCTACGGATGTAAAGTATAACGTGATGACTAGCTGTGACCTACAGACAGTTGGTGACGAGTTCTCGAGGAAACCGTATGCGATAGCTGTCCAGCAAGGATCTCCTCTGAAGGACCAATTTAATAATGCGTAAGTAATATCATCTATATATATTAGTTAGTTAAGTTGCTTTGTGTAAGTTTCAAAAACTCCAAAAGTTCCGGACTGACTGAGCTTAAATTTTGACACGATATACAACCCTATTATTTTTATCTGTTTTTCGCGTCAATTTTGTTCCTCATTTTTTATCAATCATGTTTACAACACTATTTTGATCTCTTGAAGGTTGACATTAACTTTTAGCATGATGTACACAATCGAATGAATTTTCATATTTATCAAATCCGATTTGGTTGGTAAATAACATGATGTTTAAAAACGTGTTAACTATTCCTTATCATTAAAAAACGACGGCGTAGTGAGAATAATTCCGAACTGATACTGACCGATGACTCACAAATATACAAAACCTGAAAACGCTTTTGATCTCCAGATAAATTGAAAACCGTTTTGCTGTATTAATGTATTTTACGCGTAAAATAAGGCATTCGCTTATCGTGACGTGTAATTTAAAAAAAACAGTAATGTTAGTCTGTAAGAAACTTGGTAAAACCCCAATTACCCTATATTTAATACTGTTACAATATAAATAGACCTGTAGAGATTTTATCGATCAAGAACGTTTTGGAAAATTTATGATTTCCTTTTGTTGAGTTTCACTAATGAGGCGGATTTGAACGCTTTATCCCTATCATCAAAAGCCCTGTACTACCAAGATATGTCGGCATGGACTATACAATTAGTAAAACGCAATTGAGTAAGTAGCACTGGAAAAAATAGTTGTAAACTTGTATTCTTCGCCTGCGGTTGACGACTTTCTAGCTATCTGACCTAACAAATGGGACTGTTTACCTACCTAAGTTTCGTTATCCCAACGGTAACATTGTTGTTAGAATTTTGGGAGGTTTTGCATAGAGTTAGTACAGAGATCTTTCAACATTGATGCCAGCTGCCAAGGATCATCAGGAAATGTGCTAGTATACGTTGCAAATTGCACAGAAAAGAACGTGACTCGACTATCTTTATGTACAGAATACAGTTTCTTATTGTCTACTTTGTATCCATAACTGTGCAAAACACCGATTTCCTAATACATGAAAAGTCTTTTAACGATGGCCGATTCTTCATTATTGTAAGTATTTTAAAATTTATTTTTATTTAAATGCATTCTATTGAACGCTTGATAATTTTTATTTTTGACAAACGGTAATAATGAGAACATTGAACAAGAAACTTTTAAAAATATATTTTTAGAGGGTTCAGCACAGACTGATTTCACTAGATTTCAGCAGACTATATCTACATCCTAGACAATAATAGAAATAATTCGATTGTATTACCGACTTCAATGGCTCATGATGAACTTTAATAAACTGTTTTCTTAATTCCTTAATTGTTCTCCATTTTAAGGGTGGTATTTTTCCTCAGATTTGGACCAAGCGAGAACTACATATACCCACTTAAATCAATAGTATTTTTAATTGATTTATAAATGGCAGAGTGCTCAGTTAACAAATAGTAAAAAATTAAAATGGACTTGAGAATCTTTCTTTGAAATAGAATATTTATTTAATAAACGCAATTGAAGTCTATATTAATAATGTACGTTTTATACAATGCCTATAAATGAGTACTAAATTAAATTTAACTGTCGCCAAAATTAGGTGAGCAAACGAGTGCACATAAAACATATTGTAGCATTTTTTCTTTTACAATATAATACAATGCACTACAATGTCCCAACCGACTAAATAAACATTCAGTATCTTTGTAATACACCTATATTTGCATAGCTTAAATAAAATCATTACAGGTTAATGAACTTTTTAGTAAAAAATTTAGAACGTTGTTTTTGAACGAATATTTATCATAGACTAAAGACAATATTTATAGAAACTATTTTCGAATATCCGTACGATCTTTATGTTTATGACAGGCACGTGGTTTGATTCATTTTTATTTGTTTTTTATAGTATTCAAATCTCATAACTACTTACTTAATTCGATTTTTGTACCAACTCCGAACACATGATTGAGTTTTATAGCTTTTACAGAGGTTTCAAACATCACTGCTGTCTTTACAGTATCACCTTTTTTTAACCGTCTGTACTCGTTTGTCAGTTATTTTAAACCTACCCCATTTATAATATCTGGATGTTATAAAGTTCATTAATATATTGAACTTTTGCTTTAACGAGTGAATAATGTCAAATGGCTGCGGTCTTAGTGACATTTTTGTGGCTTAATTTTGAAATTTATGGATTAGGATTTAGGTTTTGGCCGCGGCTCCGTCCGCGTGTATGTCGGTTATCGCGGTAAAAGGTAGCCAATGTGAATCGCTGAAAATGTAGCTTTCTACTGGTGAAATAATTTTCTAAATTGGTTGTGGCTTAGGTGTGAAAGCGTAACAAACAAACAAACTCACTTTTATGTTAATAATATAATCATGGAAGTATTTATTGGTGCATATCTGTAAGTATAATTTCTTTGAAAAGCGAAGTCTGCCAAATAGTTAAATTCCAAATAAAAAACTTATGCACACACACCGAGTATGCGTGTAATCAACTGAAAACAATAAAAAAAATACGTACAAAATCACATATTACTATAAATGATATTTATTTCTGTAAGTAAAACTTCAGATATTTTTACAAGTCGAACTTTACAGCTAGAAGGAGCCGGTATTTCCTTAGACTCACTCTGGGAAGAAACGCCGAAACAAACCACAGAGGTGTCTTGTTTTAAAGTCCGTAAACAAAGTTAAATAAAACTGTGCGAGTACAGTATAGGGTCTGGGTGCCACCCACACCTTTGAAGAAAGGACCATAGTTTTGAGTCGGCCTGTCCATACAGACGGCATACAGGCTCCAGCCATCGTGTAGCCTAACCGATATTGGTCAAGATCAACGACCTGAAGCATGATACTACCGCTAGCTGGACATATGGGTAGGCCGTGGAAACACTCAAACCCACCAGAAAGTTACTAATATGTGAATTAACATTACAAGCCTACACTATACTTACATTTACATACTTACGCAAAAAATACTATACAATACAATACAAATACGAAATACACCAAAAATAATAATAATTAAATGTTCATCACTTTCAAACTTAACAACAAAGATGGGAACGTAAATGTGGGAGTGAGCAGCATCAATCCCAAGCAAATTTGTCGTCTAAATAATCTGTAATAGTGTAGTAAGCCTTTTCACACAGTTTTAGTTTTACTAAATACTTACTTTAATGTAGCAATACAAACTTTAAACAAGTAACGTCACTTTCCAATCAATCAATTTCGTTCCATAATTCTAACGTAATCGTCATAATGACGTAAAGACATAATGTGTGCGTGTATGTTAATCTTCTATAGTTTATGCTGTTTGCTTATGATATTTGCATTTTAAAACAAAGTAATGCAGGTTATAGACAATCATGCAAATAAGTAATAATGTATGTTGAGTTTTTTAAGGTTGAATCGATAACTAGTTATTTTATATGATACAAATGACACATATGATACGTGTTTAATTTCTATGTCAAGGGAAACTGCCTTTATACGGTAGGACAGTTAAAAATCATATACTGAGTCTATAATGTATGTGCTGACACCCGTATTCATACACATTGTTGTAAGGCATGAAGTTGAATTCGTAATTAATAAAATGATATTAATTGTCCTATGCGTTTGTTACATGTTGGTAAATATTTAAATTGAAATGCAACGTAGATTAGTATTATAGTTTACTTGTAAATAAAAACTACTAAATGTTTTAATACTTAAGAAAAATTCATTTCTGTTTCAAACAACGTCGCAGTTTATTCAACACAGTTCGTTGCACAGGGTTTAACATTAAATGTTTCGGGTCTTCATTTAAGGTGTTAATTTAGTGGATTGACTGCAGAATAAATTTAAAAACCAACCCGTGTGGCCAGCGTGGTATACCTTAAACCAAAACCTTATTTCTAAAGACCAAAACCTTATTTCTAAGGAGAGGCCGTTTTACATTATGTATGTGAGCTTGAGCGCTAAATGGCGTTCTGTAGCTGCAGATGTACATGGTACCGTCAGATTTTCAATGCCACTTTATTTAACTTTCTAGAACTGCATTCACATTTCTACCACACAACTGGTTAAATTTCCCACAGGTTTCAACGCCAAAAAAATTGTTTGCTCAAGAAGCATACCTTTGATTTATAATCCGTCTGCCATGTTAAGTTTCAGGTAAAAAGAATTAAACCAAAGATATGAGGGTAGAAAAGAGTACATTAAAACAGTAAAATCAATAAACACCAAAAAAAACCTTGTGGGAGGGAACAAAGAACTAAAGAACACTGAAAGATTTTAACCCGGTCTTTTGCTCATCTCTTCCTGCAACTCTTGCCGGCGAATGAGAGTCATCCATTCTAAACTTCACCATTCGTTTTAATTTTTCGTCTTCCTTTTAAAAAAGTGTGACTTTCATATACATAAATTGTAATTCTATTCTATACACCATAAATAGATACAAGACTTAAAGCCGTTTCATTTATGTAGTACCTAGCTATTAGACTACATGCCCTGCGACAAATCTTACGCAAATATAAAAACATGATGTTCCTACTTTCAAATTTTCAGTATCCTGCAACTGCTAAATAAGCGTAAACTGGAAAAACTAAAAGAAAATTGGTGGAACAACAATGAACAGGCGCAGAAGTGTGAGAAGCAAGACGACCAGTCCGACGGCATCTCAATACAGAACATAGGAGGAGTATTTATCGTGATTTTCATGGGCATCGGACTGGCGTGCGTCACGCTGGGAGTCGAGTACTGGTGGTACAAGTGGAAGAAGAGGCCTCTCGTAGGGGCTGTTACTCAGGTAACAATTTTAAGCGATATTCAGATCTAAATTTGGCATAACTTATACAATAGGGTCTACAACAAGGATAGGTAATCTTAGCTACATTTTTTATTTTATTAGCACATCGCATAACCAAGGAGACCTCGACTATTTGATCGAGCAGATTGTCAACTGTATTCCGTTACTTCCAGTGAGTCGGAACTGTATTCTGATAATTCTAGTGTCATCTGTCACCTTACGAGTTGCGATTGATCGTGGGAGAATTAATTCTGGGGAAAAACCCCTCAAAGGGCGGCAACGCACTTGTGTCCATGGATGGTGTTTTTTTTAAATATTCATAGTTAATCATAAAAAAATCCACACTGAGCGAGACTGAAAATAAAACAATTCGAATTATAAAAAACGAGCGGATTTCAATATTTGAAAATTATATAACAAAAAATGATACAATACAATCGTTTTTCGCCATCCAGCTGAAGGTCTATATTAATGGCGCCGGGCATAAAGATAAAATGTAAGGAAATGAAACAATAAAGTTTTTATACCATACCAATACCTATCTGTAAATATCACAATGAAAATACTTCATTAAAGCATTATTTAAATTATACCTATGAATAATGAAAAAAATTATGATTGTCAGAAATTGATGTTCAGTCTTTGGTCTTTATGAATAAGTTTCTACCATTTTAAGAACAATGAGATGCCTAAATACCTTAGATATCTGAAAAACCTACTAAGTTTATAAAACTAAAGTTTTAACCTGAGTTTTCTTAATTTTCAGGTAGAGCCAGCAAAACCATCCAGGAATAACGGCAATCCTCAAAAAATGGGGGACAGCTTTAATTTCAGATCAAGGAACATGGGCATCAACGTGAAATCTAAGTTTTGAAACATTACGTAGGAAATTATCGACTTCGTAACTGACATAAGAAATAGGTTGCGTTAAAGAAGGTCCATTGTCTATTTAAACTTGGCTTTTGAAAATACCTCCTTCTAAATGTACCTGACGGCCAGCTGCGGGCATTCTGCAGTCACTAACTGTAGATAACTCTCATGTAAGTTACGGAGTCGACAACACCAGTGCTCTGTAATGTATTTCTTAAATGAATGAGAATAATCTCTAGATATTTTCCATGAGTTAACTGACTTTTTAAGTTTAAGTTAAGGATCGTATGTAAGTTCTGCCCTAATGCATGCAAGTGTGTTTGCAATAAATGTATAGCACAAGCAATTATTGTTTTATTTTATGTTGCCTCTAATATTCCTTTAACTAATAATATAATGGATGCTCTATCCGATTTAAGAACAATTATCTTCATTCTTTTTGTTTAATTGATTAACGCGTTTAATCCAACAAAGCAACTCATCAGCTTTAATATATTAGGATAGATTAGTTTCTAAAAAACTCGTCTTAAGACATCTGTCTATATCATCATATATAGGGAACAATCAACTCATTTTAATGGATGTCTTGTAAAAATACTTCCATTTCGAAGAGAAAACAACTGCGACGTTATAAAGTATGATAAGCCAAAAAGGAAGACTATATGGAAGTTTTGTTTCTGTTATTAAATTTCTTGGTTGTACTCCACTTTAATACTAGTTTCAAGTGAGACAACCTCAAGGTCTAACCAGATTTTCCTCATAACAAGTCCAATAATAACGACAAAGTCAAATTCCGAACAGGACCGTCGCCGCCCCGGTAGGTTACTGCTTATTCGAAATGGCACGTTTAAAACGATTCACTAGCTTACTACAAAAGTAGTTTGAGTCTAAATCAATAGATGACGCCACATGTCCTAAAAATAAATATTAGGAAAACTTTGAATATACAATTCCTGACATAAAACTACTAACAGCTATAGTTGTTCTTTTGTTACATTTATATTATGAAATGTTATGAAGAACAATCATAGATTGTTGTAATTTAAATAATTTCATTTTATTTACAACTTATAACCCTGTGTCGCCATCTTTTGTAATTAGTTTGAATCCAAAACGTTGTTTTGCGCTTTCACGTGCGAAATGGCAGCACTTGTTACAATAAAATGACCTAGCATAAAATACGCACGAGTATTAAGCGGGTTGGAGAAAATAAGATAATGTATGACTTGGTCGTCACCGAATAAATAACATAGTTTAAGCTCTTCGACGTCTATATACTTACCTACCTAAAAAAATATTCTAATTGTAGCTAATTCGTGTAACTAGGTATGTAGTTTGAGTGTAATTCATCTCAAAATAAATATTGAGCGAAAAACCTGGCAATTTTTTTTTGTATCGAAACCCCCTCGTACCCCTCAGGGGTTTGCGGAGGGGAGGTGTGTCGGAATCGTACCGACTAGAACCACACGGTTTGCAACTCTGCTACTGAAATAGGAGATCCGAGAAGGTGGATTTCATATCGGCGTCGCATGAACTGTGTGTAATCCGAGCTGTTTCCAACTGTGTACCACACCACCACAGCGTCTTATATGCATGGGCATATAAAATAACCAGCTATAATAATGTACTGTAAATAATACCGTAAGTGAAATACGTAGGATCAGAGGCAGGGGATCATTATCATAGCATTTTTTAGCAAAATGTTCTGACACAGAATACGGAATCTCTGAGAAAATATCATTCAATGCGCCTCAATCATGCTGAATTCTAATAATAATCATTTTTTTAAGGTTGAATATTTTCTTCAAATTTCAATTAATTCTATAAAAAAGGAATATTTAATTGAATTGAGAATATTCTCCTCTTTGAAGTCGATTTAAAAAACAATTTGATATTTGACAGTAATTTATTATTATTACTAAATAACTTAGAAATATACGGTATAAACTTACGACAGTATATCTAGTACAATGTAGAATAAGGTGTCAAGCAGTTGTTATTGATTTTTATACAAGAATATGACTACTTGGTTCTTGCAGCTGCGTTATTGAGATCAGAAAAAGTCATAATAAATATATTAAAAGAGGTGTTACTGCTACAACTCAATGCCATGGTTCTTTAAAGCACTCTTTAATTGTTGCCAGCTTAAAAATAAAAAAGACGTGTGGCACTCGGGGACTGCCGCGGTAAAGCTATTGCATAGCATTTTGTATCAACTTATGCAATTATAATTATTTATTTATTTTATTTATGCAGTATTTATTTTTCTTTGATATTAATTCAAGTTACACTTTTTGAGCGTGGTGACCGATAAGAAAACAATTTTTTTTCTTTTATTAAATAAAAATATTGAAGCATATATTACAATTTGTTTTTAAATATTTAAAAAAAAATATTATTATTAAATCAAATTACATATCCATGTAAGATTTTTCTGCATTTTGTTGACGAAATTTCCTTTGACGTTCAGCATTTGATTTTGGTACTGTTTTTTGTTTTGTTTTTAGCGTGAGGTTTTTTTCGTTACGGAATTTCTGGAGTCGGTCCCCGCGCTCATGGCCCTCGATAGAAGCTATGCAATAGCTTAAAAGCTATGCAATAGCTTAACTTTATTTTGACACAAAAACTACTACAATCTAATTTTCTACATTTCAGATATACTTAACATGTATATTACGTAAGCAGCAAAAGGAAGCACGGTTGTTTGACTTGGTGTTTAGATTTATTATTCATTCAATTTTCTTAAACTATTTAGTAGGCCAAAACCTCTTTCTAAGGAGAGGCTCTCCCTAGAAAGGAGATTCAGTTCCAGCAGTGGACTATTACAGGCTGTTGATGATGATGACGATGACGAAACTGTTTATTTTAGTACATTCTGAATTAAATGTGGCAACCCAACTTATCTATGATTAGAAGAGGAGCAATGTCACTGGATCTTTTTATGAAAAAATTAAGAGTTGCCCGATTAAGTAATAATTTCTATATTATTTGTAAATTTAAAGTTCATATACAAGTTGCTTCTCATTTTGGACCTGGTTATTTATTTATGAATAACAAAAACATAAAACAAACAGATTACCTATTTAAAATTATACCAACTGCTTAAGTAACCATAGAGAAGAGAAAGCCTCCTTGAGTTGTAAACGGCCCACGTCGATTATTTCAACTTTTAAATTGTCTATGTACTTGACTCAGGACCTTATTTTTTTGTACAACTGATTCGACATCTCGTCTCTTGAGTCGAGTATTATGTCAGATAATCCATATAACTGTGTTAAACTCAACTATATTCATTGTTTAATTGTCATCTAAAGGCAAGAAATCGTCAAAGTTTACAGATCTTATAAAAATATCTTCTACCATCTTTGTGACATCATTATGACTTCTAGATGCTATGCAGTTGGTACCGGTGTATTTTCCACAAGTAAAAAAAAATATTATTTATTACGAACCTTTTTTTATTTGACCTTGTCAATATACGAAAAAAGTTGTTACAAATCCGAAGTTAGCGGTCTATTTTTTTAATGACCCGCTTATCCCAAAAAATAATTTCTTTGTTAAGTGAGCTACAATTCTTTGAACATCAACCCTTATTCTTCCCTCCTTAGTAGGAGGGGTGGAGTATTTTCTTTAAATTAACATAAGCCAAAAATTAAATTCGTTATTATTATTTATTTCTTGTATTATTTTCTTATTTATATTACTTAAATTTTGTAAAGTATACCTACTAAATTCATGAGAAGATTTTGAACGAAAACACTTCTACCGGTGCCTGTTCCAACGGCATAGTTCCAGAAGCTTCTAAAATAAGTATTTCTATGAAGCCATCTCTTAAACTTTATATTTACAGTAAAATAGCCTTTAAACATAAATATTAAATTATATAATTTGGTTATCTATAGCTCTATAGCCTTGCCGTGTTTGTTTAAGTTTTTCATGTTCTTGTAGCACAATTCTAGTTCTAACCTCAGCCCGTCGACTTCTGCCTCCAAAGTGCGAGATCTCTTGAACATCTGCACGTAATTCAATTGTAACTGCTTTTGGTATCTCAATACTTTGTCCTTCTCCTCAGACCACTTTCTTCTTTCAGTATTAAATTGAGTTTCTTTAGCTTCCAATTCACATTTAAGTCTATCCACCATCGCACCAGCTGGACAGTGGTCTCCACAGGCATCCGGAAGTTCTCCATTTAGTCTTTGGACTTCTGCGTCTTCTAAAGCACTGTCGTTTGAATTCCAATGGTATTCGTTACTTTTGCATACGTCGTAGATTCCTCTCATGGTCCTCCCACACTCGATGCCCTCGTACCCACTTAGAGAGATGTCTGAAAGTTCTTGTCTGAGTTCTTTGAGTTCAGTTTTTAGTCTTTCTATTTCGTTTTTGTTGGTTTCCTTTGTCTTTGTGAGGTCTGATACGCTATCCATTAGGTCGGTGGTTAGTCTGTCTACTTCTGTTTGAAACTTTTTGATGGATTTCTCTTTGTCTTCCGTTTCTGCACGTAGCCTCATTATTTCTTTCTCCTTTTTGTCCAGAGCTTCTCGAAGTTGGCGGCAGTCAGCCTTCAGCGTTAGATACTCGTGGCCTTTTGCGGTTTGCTCATTCTGGAATTTCAAAGAGTAATTTGACATATCTAATATGTTTATAATATAATGATATAACATAAAAAGTTGAGGCTTTATTACGCCTCATTGCGACTTTGATGTATAAAAAGAGCAGAGTTTATCATTTTTGGTGAAGAAATTAAGTTTAGGGTCATATTTAAATATTTATTTGTACCTATGCTATATGCTTTTTCTGGTATAGACTTCTGGTAGACAGGCTACAATACAATCTTGGCTTGTTACATGTTGTATATTATATTGTTTTCAACTATGCAAATAAGCAAATTAACACACGATAAAGTATCCATGTTCCATGTCTTACGTGTATATACCCATAGAGTTTGACCGACTATAAAAGATAGATTTTAGATTGTCACGGTACATAGAAGGAGACAACTCTTCGTTATTATGAAGATTGAGCACAAAACTTTGATAAGTGAATATCATCGCATCCCATCTTCAATAAAGGCCTCGCGAAGGCCTTTTATCATCACCAACAGCCTTTAATAGTCCACTGCTGGACATAGGAAGGATCTACTTAGGAAAGAGGTTTCGGCCTACTATACCACGCTGGCCAGCTACCACTGCAAAGAGAAGAAAAACTATAAAAAACCCCTATACCGACCCGGGTATAGTTTTTTTTTCAAGATTTACTTCTCTTTGCAGTGTTGTTGTCCTGCGTAGTTTGCTCCCTTAGTCGACTCTTACCCATGGGATGAAAAGGGGTGGTGGCACTCTGCATCTTTATACGCAAAGGCATTTAGAGCCAAAAAAACAAGTATTGTTTGTCTGTGTGATATATTAACCATATTTATATATATTTGTACCTGCGCGTCCTTGAGCTGCGTTTTGAGCAGTGCAATTTCACCAGCCCGCTGGCAAAGGCTCCACTCGGTGTCCTCGAGGCGCTGTCGCAGCAAGGCTCGGTCACGCCGCAGCCGCGCCAGCTCCGCGTCGTGGCGCTCGTCGCGCCGGCCCAGCGCCAGCGCGGTGGGCGCCACAAGCCCGCGCGCCGCCCGCACGCGCACCTCGTGGCTGCGCAGCCGTTCTGTTGTACTGGAACACCCATTACTACATATTAACTACGGTGGAAAATGGTTGTATGTGGACAAGACTGTAGATCGGTCGCTGGGTCAGATGTGGCTCGAAGAACCACAAAAAGATGTCCCTAGGGTCTAAAACCTTTCACCTTTCTATTTTTGGAATTAGAAAGGATTGAATTGACATGAAATGTGTATTATCTAAAATAGTTACAGAACTTGTAATAATTTATTTCAAGGCGAAAATCTTCGTAATACTTAAAAAAACATAAGTTGGGAGCATTTACTCAATAAAGTGAATCTTTTAGATGATAGTTTCCGTTCGATATGCTTCCTTAAATATGAATGTGTGCACAAAATTACGAGATTTGAGTCTAAGATTACACAGTCTGTTTACGAAGTAGGACATACATAGTACGCTCTTTTATTATCATAATTACTAGGTTTGTGAAATATCGTTCTGCATGCTAATATTTAATAATATTAGAACGAGAAGGCCGTGGGGTAGGTTTAAAATATTCATTTATATTTTACATATATCTAGATGTACATAGATCTACAAATACAAAGTGTATCTTAATCAAAATTTACATCTAGGAATCTGCTATTAAATTACATAGTTCACACAAGCACCATATAATTATACCCTTATTATCCGATTTTTAAAAAGGGTATATAAATATTAATTACGCGTTATTCAAAAAATATATTATGAGAAGATGTGTTTAAACTATGCTACTCAAAACCGGAATAAAGTTCGATACTTGTAAACCTTGTAGAATTATTTATTTCAATTTCCTGAGGGGCCTCTGTGCAGATTATTCCCTAGCCAATAAGCAATATTCATAAAAATCTTTCCAGAATGGGAAAGGGAAGATGTCACCATAACATTGACACAAAGAAAACTTAATCTGTATCCAATCGTTTTTAAATTCGGTTAAAAATTTTGTACATTTATTTTAGAACATTTCATTTTATATAAGTATTAGGTGCATACTATTTCTCAATATTTAAAAACGAGTAGTTACTTTGACTCGATAATTATGATTATGTTAACTTTTAGAATATAATGTGTTTACCTATAATCATGATGATCCCTCTCCAGCTCAGCTACTCCAGAGTCGGCAGGGGAGGGTGCTGGCACCGGTTCCTTTTCACCTAGACCGGAATTCGACTTCGTACTGCAAAAAATATATTGTTGATATATTAATAAAATCTAAAGACAATTACCACAGACGTAAAAATGATACCAAATCGCAATTGGCAAGTGATGATAGGGTTTAATTTCATTTGTAATTCAGAAGACTTAGCACCTTTTAAAATGAGCAAGGTTTTCATTACCAATGCAGTGGAATTCGACCATCTAATGGTACAAGGGCCTATGGAACACACTTTCTTTCCATATTGACAAGTTATAAAACAAATTAATAGTTCGCAAGAAAAGAAATTGATACCCTGTGCCGACCAGTGGAAACATTTGAGGTTGTTAGCTGCAGTAACTAGTGCATCTAGAACTAGAAGTTAGTGCAATTTTCGTTCACTTAATATTTTTTGGCATCAAATTTACTTGTAGTATATAACTACAATACGCAATCATTTTTTAAAATTACTGTATTTTTATTTGGTTCTCTGAAATATCTCTTAGAAATAAGATGACAAGTATTTAGTGTTATATTTTTTATGAGAAACAGGTGGCTGAGAAAAGTTTAAAGAAAACCGGTGTTGCAGGTCACGGTCATAAGTACCATTTTTACATAACTATTGTTATTATAACTTCTAATATGATCAAAATTCAGACAAGAGAGTTCCAAACCAGTAGCGAAGAATCATTTGCCTTTGAATAATTTACTCAAACAAAAATACACCTTACTGGCCTTCATTATAAATTCATACAGCGTACTCCAAGTGATTACAACTTACAGTCAACATCAACATGTTTGCTTGGAACTGTTCACAGCATCTGTGACTGTTAGCATGAGCTAATTGAATATAACTTTTTAGGTAGTAGGTTGCCTATACAGCACCTCAGCTTTGTTAAAATTGTAAATGTAATTAGGTTTCAAATTAGCATTTCGGTAAAGACAACATTTATAATTTAATTTCCAGATGCTTCTAGAATGATGAGAATTGTTACAACATTCAGAAGATGAATAAAGTTTACGTCTTAAAGCCTATATTAAGAAAGGCGCAGCATGAGTTCGTGATTCGCCTTTCAACGATTAAATGATAAATAAAACGCAGACAAAGACTATTTAGTAGCGTCATACCATATGAATGTAGTTTATTGCAATGTTCTGTGATTGCATTTAAATAACAACACATAAAGACATTTATAGAATTTATTGCTTTGTTTACACCTGTCTTTGGTCAGTATTGTGAACTAAATACCTATCCAGTTAGGGCTGAGACCTTAAGTAAAGTTGATTTGTTATTATAAAATACTTAAGGATAGACCAGATAGATTTTTATACTAAGTAATAGACAGTTTGATTATGGCTACACTCTACAGTATGAATAAGATTGCCACCGGCACCTGTATATCCTTAGTTGTATAATAAATGAATAGAGCAATATCGGACGCCTGCCTTTAGACAGAAATACGTCCAGCCATTTAGATACGGACGACAATTGTTTGTAATTATTTCCTCAAGACCTTGAGAAAATGTTTAGAAACGTAACGATTATGTAAGTTAATCTTTAGTTTCCGGTTCGTTTTGGATGGTATCGGTGTTGACGGCTCATCTGATGGTAACTGACACTACTATTAAGAATTCTTTTCTTCTTTATCATTTGCGGCAAAGGCGTATCCAAGACTACGACTACGATGCCAAGACAGGTCTTTGCACAAAAGCCAAGTGTAGAGTAAATCGGCTAGAGACATACTAACAGTTCATAGAACAAATGCATTAATGAATCAAAATAACATGAACGGCGTCGCGGTCGGAGGCGCAGGCGCAGGCGTCTTGCTTCGTCAGCGAAGCGTTACCGTACTATCTGTGTAGTTTGTGAATATAATATCTTTCGTGGTGTGCAATTGTTTCTTTGCCTGTTTCGTCAATGTCAAGTCACAATTGATGCTACAGACGGTAAAGTTATTGAACCTACATTTTTACATGTAACTTATTTGAACACACAGGGAGCACGTGGCCCAGACAGTATTCGCCTACCAGTTCCTAAAAAAAACGCTTTACGCTAGTAGACTGTCGTAGAGTGTCAGTCTTATTTTATTAGTAGTAAGCAACTCAGCTACAGAAAATACGATGTTGTCAGTTTTCTTGTTTAATTGTGACTCTTCTAACAGACTTAAAAAAAAACAATTTTGAAGAAAAAATACCCCCCCTCCCCCTAATGGGTGAAAAATTGAGGGAACAAAACCACAGTTTATTACAATTCGATATAAAGTATGTCGGTATGTAAGTATGTAAGTGCATTGAAGTCGAACCTCGACTTTTTCAACAGTTAATTATTTGTGATAAAAATTCATCCTCAGTCCGACGGGATTATTTAATTCAGGCAGATCTTTATTGACAATAGAGAATAAGAATTTACCGCAGCGAAACTGTGCACTATAGAACAGTACATGTAATTTTTTTCATATAGGTAATTACACAGTAATTAATTACTAGGTTCAAAACTAGTTTTCACTTTTCTTTCAATCAATCAACTAATTATTGTGAAGTCTATTAATTCTCGTGCTAATACTACAAAGGCGAGGCGTATCTAAACGCACCTAAATGCATATTCATATAGAGAAACGTGTTGTTCTGTTTTCTAATAATAGTAAGTACCATAAACACTCCATAGAGAGTGCCTTTGGCATTAATTCCGCCTCTGTACATCTAGTCCATAAAGTATTTTACACGTGGGAGATAAATATTTCTGCACAAATGGGCCAGCTTGACTGGCAATTATTTCATTACTTTTCATAGACAGAGTGAGGTTGTCAGAGCTCACATCCCTTTTACCCCTGATTCTGGGGTGGGCAGGACTCAATGGGCGGGAACACAATTGTGACTCGTGAGTTGCATGGACTACGGTAGTCACTTACCATCAGGTGGCCCGTCTACTCGTATGTCCCCGTTTACTATTAGAAGCAACGGTAAAGTGTAAAAGCTATTAAAGTCGGAAAATAGGTGAATGATAGAAAGTGTGGCTATAACTACCAGAGGACAATTTATAGTCCATCTAAGTCATGTAATATAGAAAAGCGTAACATATGAACTAAATGACGTTTCTGATATTATACACACATACGAAGATTAAAGGTGCGCCGTATTGTGAAAAACTGTGGGAGAGCTAAGCCTCGGCTCATATGGGTCGGCTCGACCTAACTGATACTACGGTATTACAAATAACCGTTGTTAAGCAATTCTCTCGTTATTTTTCAACAAGGTTACCGAAGGAGGTTACCGAAGGCTAAACTACCCCCCTCCCTCCTTAATTAAGGCGAGGGGAGGGTAGATAAGGTCTCCAAAAACGACCTTCGGTATTCTTTATGGCGCGGGTGGAAGAGAAAGCAGTCCATCATTAGGCGCATTCAGAGCGCAGTCTACCTATACTTAAACAAAATTGAACTATTTCAGTGGTGTTTTACGATCGGTTAACCTCTCTATAAAATTTCTCCAATAAACTTTCACCACGTGTTAGTCTAAAAATAAATCATACGAAATCCCTTTAAGGTTTTAAAGCTAATAGTTAAGGTTAATGTATTACAAAAGTACCGCATTACCGAAAAGTATGATCAACACTTTTATATCTCTGTTCGATGGTCCCTACTCGTAAAGAATATTTCTTTATCGACTTTTTTGTTATCTATTAACTATAGAGTTTTATGCGTAAATATAGTCCGATTCAAGAGTTATCTTGTGTAAGGCTATGCCGTGTGCTGCAATGACGTAAGGAAAAGCGGCGGCTTTTAAGACCATGGAAACCTTGAAATATGTATGTGTTTTCTACTTTACTGATATCCGGTCAGACAGCTGGAAAGGTGGGCCGCCTCAGGCACCCGTTGTAATTCTGCATCCCTATTTCTCAGCATTCAACCATGTATCTAAAGCTTCTGCTGTCATTAATTATGTAATATTTAATGTTCGGTAAATATAAATTTAATAGCTTTTGATGAATATGTTGCAGTTGGCGTAACTTGGAAATCTTAGCTACGAGTAATATAACTGTTAGATAAACTGTAACACTGGCAATTATGTTGCGATTCTCACTTAGTTTCGATCATTACGAGATTCTGAGATCGTTCTTGAAACTACTAACCGTATTTTGCGGTAAAAGCGTATCGTGACGCAATTGTACAATGTACATACATATTACAGAATCTATTCACATCACTTTAGTTTTGTTGTTTGTTACTTGAAGGAATCGAGCAATAACGCGGTTCCTTTTATCTACGTTGTTATTAGACGTTATTAGACTACGTTGGTTATCAATGTTCATATTAAATATGTGAATTATTGCTACTTTTAAATCATATTCATTTAAAGAATTGATTGGTTTTAATCACAGCGATTTCACATGTGATAGTGATTTCGTCAGAGACAAAGATAAATGGCATTAAAATCAATCAAAATTATTTTTATCAAAGATTACTAACTTTTTTTAGTTTAAACCTTTCGCGAGTCTTGCGCTAGCGTAATAATAATTAAGGAGCAGTGGTTTGAAAATTAGGGACAGGTGTGATGATATAATCTAATACATCATATCATCACATCTGTGACTGACCATAGATCAGAACTATAGATTATATGATTAATCACATCTCTAGTCCATATGCCTATGTACTTGCATGTCCAGCGGTGTTATCAGACACAGCTAGCATCCCTATATAGCTATAGCTTCTACTCTTCGAAAATACAACAGAATGCTACTAAAGGGATTGAAGTTATGTCAGTAAATTTGCAATTTGGCAATGATTTGATTACAAATCAATTGTGATAATAATCATTATTCAGTTTTCTTTGTAGATTTTGAGTAGTGATGATTCTCACAGAGCTTTAATGCGTATAACACGGTCTGATCGTACACTGTAATCGTATTGATATAGCCATAACGTCATCGCGAGAACTGACAGTATAACGCCAATAACTGTAAATAGGTAACTGTTACGCATAGTAATTAGGCACTCATTAGATTATGTATTTATCTCATGCTGTTATATTGGCATGAGATAAAT